AGCTTTTATAGTAGAGCGGAGAAAAAGTCGAACATGTGTCAAATTTGACAGATGATATTTGTCGATATTGCCAAAGTGTCGTGCGACAAAAATTTTATCTGAACGAATCTGTTCATTGTTAACTGATATAGATTATTTTAAAGCCAATCAAGAGCCGAGAATAAACAAAATTCGAATCCCCAAACCAATCAGGAGCCGGGAAAATTCAAAATTTCGAATTCCAAACCCGACGAGAAATTGAATTTTTTGTACCAACTTTTGCTACATAAATCTCACCCTAAAACCCACTAAAAAACGACCTTTGTTTTTTGGAAAAAACAAAAGATTTTTTTTTGAAATTGACAGCTGTCAAAATTTAAAAAAAAAACCTACATGGTCATATAGATTTAGCCTCGACGAATTTGTAAAAAGTACCAATTTTTTTTTAACTATATGTCAAAAAAGATGTTCGGCGTTGCCAGCGTCAAATTCGATGGTACTTTTATTAGTTTATGTCATACGTCATTTGTCATTCATTACAAATGTCAATCTTGATTGATGGTCTAATTTTTGTTTCGATTTGTCATTGTTTGTTTATTATATTTTTGACGTATCAATGGAAAAATGTAAACTTGAAAAGTAATTGGTGACGTCATATACTGGAGATAAAAAAAAAAAAAAAATGTTATTCGATGACACAACTGCCAAAGTAATATGTCACAATAATTATTTACCCAATATTTGTATTTTTGCTCAAGCTTGACAGAGTCAAACGTCATTTGTCATATTATTATTCGAAGCGGGAAATTCAATTTTTTTTTCCTATTCCCGGCTCTTGAATTTTATAGTTTTCAATCAAGCTGATAATTCAAGATGGCGACGTGGGCATAACAAACTAGTGCTTTTACATTCAATTCAAATCGATTGCAATTTGAATGTAAACGTGGTGTGTTATTTCCACGCCGCCATATTGAATTAAAATAACGTCATTTTATTTTCAGCAATTTTATGTAATATTTAAAAATAAATTTTTTAATCGATTTTAGGCACTTGAAAATAGTCTATGAATTTCCAGAAAAAAAAAAGTACGTTTGTCCTTGTTTGTTGCATACAGACAGACAGAGACGAAACACGATTTGAGGCCTTAACTGATTGACATTTCTTTCTAATCGATGGCCTACTGTGTTAATTATTCGACGTCATTGTTAATTTATTATATTCTTAATTATCAAGAGTCAAATTTGACATTGACACATAATTAACATTTAATGTGTCAAAAGTGTGTTTTTGATTGATCGTTATTTCTTTATTATTTTGGACGTCAAATGTCATCTGTCACCCACTGCAACTACTATTAATGTCAATTTTGAAATTAATCGTCTACTTATTTTTTGCTTTGATGTCGTTGCTTGAATTTGACACGTAATTTGATGACGTCATAGATTCCAGATGTGTCAAATGTCGTTCGATAACACAGCAATTGTCACTTTCAATTGATGACGACATTGGTTGGTCACAATTATTTGTTTGACAGAGACGAACCATGTGTCAGATGTCATTTATTCTATTACTTGAAGCGGGAAATTTATTGTCCGGTAGTATAGGCGAAATATTCGAATGCGAAACGTCATTTGTCAATTGTCAACGTATACTACCATTTCCGATTGGTAGGTATATTTTTTTTGCGCACCGAGTGTATTTCCATTTCTTTTTCTCATCCTGCTAAAAAGAAACAAGATTTTCTTTTGCACTAATTCTACCAATCAAAAACAATATGATATTGATTCATTTGTCAACCGTTTTATTTATGTCATTAGATGACAAATGACAAATTCAACCGGTTGACAAACTTTACCAATAAATTACCGAACAGTGACACATTAAGCATCACTTGTCTTGTCAACTGTCAAAAAAAAATAGTTGTTAATATTGTCAACGATGATTGAATCAAGTAGGCTTTGGATGGATGTCGGTATTACAGGTTGCGTACAAAATTTTATTCAAAACTTGCAAATTTTGATTATTCCCGGCTCTTGTTGTCACATGACGTACGACATTTCATTTTATTCGAATGACCAGTGAACTCAAACAAGTGAGATAGCGATATTGTAGGCGGAATGATTAAACAAACGTCAATTGCCAGTGAGAGTTTTGGGACCAAAATCCTATTTAAAATGATGATATTTTCAAATCTTTCGAGATTATTTCTATCATGCGGCAACGTCGCTTGTTTAATTAAGCAGGCCTTTGAATAATATTGGGGTCGGTAATACAGAACTCTGTAATACTTTTGCACTGCTAAAAGAACTGACAACATTGAGTCGGTAATACAGGAGAAGTAATATTTTGAGGTAACGTACAACATTTTATTTACATCTGATCCATTGTCGATCTGGTCACCAATATTGAAAAGTAGGCGATTGATTTCGAGATTGAAATTACAACTTTGATAGTTGCAGTAAATGACAAAATGACATTTGACATATCGTTCATCTGTTTAAATTGTAACCAACAAATGACGTCAATTCGACTAAATGAATAAGTGACCATTTTGGTATGACGTCACGCTGGAGGGCAACCAATCATTTTATTGTCAAATTTAAAGCGAAAAATGCCAAAATAATGTCATTTTTTTTTTTTGGTTATAAATTAATGTTTGCCCTCCAGAGCAAATTGTCATTAGTCATTTATACTGAAATAGGTCAAGAATAACAGACAATTTAAGGTGAATTCTAACGATATCGAGTGACATCTATCATTGAATGACATGTGATATAGTGACGCCAAAAGTGGCAATAATAAACAATAACTTTGACAGTTGACATCTGGTCATCTGTTGTACTAATAAATATGACAAGTGACATTGACGATTAAAAAACGAAATACTTTGCACTATTTCCTGTCATTTTACAAGTTGATTTAAATTATTTAGCGAATTCTATTGTGTGTCTTTTCAATTAGCTTGTATAAAACAAAGATAGAAATACATTTTTTTTGCATTAAAATAATTGATGTAATTATTGGCAACATTGCATTAGTTTGTAAATCACTTTTGACAGTTGTTTAATTGACAATTGACAAAAAAAAAAAAATCAATTTGGTGTTAAACAATGAAACTTATAATCGTTGTTTGATGAGTCTCAACAGCTGTCACTGTTTTGACAAGTTTGTCAAATGTCGTTATATGTCAAAGTCGAAATGCTGTGTTGCAACACTGTTCTATTTTCAATAGTCCATTTCTATTGAAATTGGAAAAAAATCGATGTAATTATTGGTAATATGGTATTTTCTATAAGTATAAGGGTTTTTGTCTGGTAATACGCACGAATGTTTATAAAACCCTCGTTCTTCGGGCTCAGAATTAAAAAGAAAACCCCGGCCCGAAGGGCCGGAGTTATATGCGAGCCCGAAGGGCCGGAGTTACACGAACCCGTTTATTATCAACTGATTTTAATACTTTGGCTCTTCGGATCGTAATCTTTGAAATAAAAAGACGCCATTTTATATCGACTGTCAAAAAAAACCAAGGCCTACTTTGATATTTCAATCTTTTGACGTTTGTTGTATCATGAGCAGCGTTGCCATATGTTGTTATCAAATTTCGATTTATAGGTTATCATTGACATTTCTGAAAAATATTTCCTTTAAAATTCCCAAATATTCTTTGCAATTCCCGAAAAATCTATTAAAATCTCAGAATTCCATAATTTAATGGAATTTCAGTAGAATAATTATGTTATTCTGAAAAAGGAATTAGATGTGAAATTTCCATAGAATTTACATTAAATCTTAATTCCTCTCGAATTACTTGAAATTTCAGTGAAATTCCGATCGAATTACCCAAAATCCTAAATGAATTACATGGAGGAATTTTAAACAATTACATGAAATTACACCGAAATTCCCAACATGAAATTTCAGTTCTTACTGAATTTTAGTAATGTCGAAAAATTTCCAGCTAAAATATGGAATTTCGGTGATATTCCGAAAAATTACCATGAAATTTCAATATATTTCGATGAATTTTTAAGAAATTACTTAAACTTCATTAATATTCCCAGAAATTCCTGGCTATTAAAAGAGAATTTCAGTGAAATTCCGAAAAATTCTTATAAAAATAAATTAAATTTTGAAAATTCCTTGAAGTTTCATTGAATTTTCGAGAAATTTTCGGTTATGAACGTGGATATTCTCATAAAATTTTAGTGAATTCCTAAACATTTTTAAGAAATTACATGAAATTCCAAAGAATTTTATGAAAATTTTGTGGAATTCCAGTGGTAAAATTTTGAGGAATTTTATTAAAGTTAAAAAAACAAAATATGGAATTTTGAAATTGAAATTTTAATGGAATTCCTTCATGAAATCCTATACTGTAATTAGCCTCATCACTTGAAATAGTCACGAGCCGCCACTGGGCGTAAAACAAACTAGTGCAGTGGCGTTCTATAAAAATTATTATCCAAAAATCAAGGCTTAATAATAATGAATGAAATACATATAATTCTTGTCGCATTCGAATACGCTTCCGTGTGACCTAAAAAACCGCATTCAGAATCCTTCTGTGTGTGTGCGGCGGAAAATCGTTATTTTCCGAGCCGCTAATGAACAATTGTTCACACATTTTAAATCATTCCAGAAGCTGCAATGCGAAATTGCGTGTGATTGTAGACCCGACCTTTACGTCACACACAATTTTTTGTCTCAAGGGAAATCATCTTCAAGTTCGTTTTACTTATATTCAATATTTAAAAATTCAATTCAAAAAAAAAAATATATATATATATATATATTTTTAGATTAATCAGGATTCAAGGAGGGGATCAATACCGCAACAACCACTGGTTGCCCTATAGCGGGGTGCCGATGCGGAATATCAATTCGCTCTGTTTCAACAACAGACAAGAACCAATAATTGTTGACCAATCATAGTCACTCGAGTTGTGTAGCAAATCAAGGACTGCAACAACAAATTCTCACCTCGTCATAAATAAAATTGTCAATCTCCTCCAACGGCCTACCATAAAGTTTCTTGGGAAACGGCTCGAATTTCGACGGCAACCGCGAACCATCCTCAACACTGAGTTTCCTTTTGGGTTGGAACCCATATTCGCGCACCAACTGTATCGTTTTCCGTTCCAACCGTTCCAGCGACTCTTTGGTGAACGGTTTCACTTGATGTGCCAACTTGGCCGGATCGCTAACGTACCGTTTTGTCGGTACTGGAACCGGTTCCGGTCCGGTCGGGTACGACGCCGGACGTTGTCGGATCATAATTTGCCGGGACGTTGTCGCATCGCTGCCGCACGGTGAACTGACGATAGGACGTTCGTCGTGACGTCGATAGCGACGCCGACGCAGCGACGCGTAGCCCGACACCCACCCACCACCTCTTTTCTTTTCGATTAATAATTTTTCTTAAATTGATTAACAGAAAAAGTCCAATGTGCATTATATATTTGACAGTTTTTTACCTATTTATAGTTAAGTATAGTTTGTAAAATCTTACTTTATTCGTAACTCCATTAATAATAACTCAATGGCTTTGAGTTTTTGGTATTTTTTACATTGAATCATTAGGAAAAAGACCCCAAAAATTCAACTTTCCACTCGCTTTAGTTTTTGACTAAAAAAATTGTTTGTAAAGTCTTACTTTACAAAACATCATTATTTTCAAAAAATCGTAACTCCATTAATAATAACTCAATGGCTTTGAGTTTTTGGTATTTTCTACATTGAATCATTAGGAAAAAGACCCCAAAATTTCAACTTTCCACTCCCCTTAGTTTTTGACTAAAAAAATTGTTTGTAAAGTCTTACTTTACAAAATATCATTATTTTCAAAAAATCGTAACTCCATTAATAATAACGCAATGGCTTTGAGTTTTTGGTTTTTTACATTGAATCATTAGGAAAAAGACCCCAAAATTTCAACTTTCCACTCCCCTTAGTTTTTGACTAAAAAAATTGTTTGTAAAGTCTTACTTTACAAAATATCATTATTTTCAAAAAATCGTAACTCCATTAATAATAACTCAATGACTGTGAGTTTTTGGTATTTTTTACATTGAATCATTAGGAAAAAGACCCCAAAATTTCAACTTTCCACTCCCCTTAGTTTTTGACTAAAAAAATTGTTTGTAAAGTCTTACTTTACAAAATATCATTATTTTCAAAAAATCGTAACTCCATTAATAATAACTCAATGACTGTGAGTTTTTGGTATTTTTTACATTGAATCATTAGGAAAAAGACCCCAAAATTTCAACTTTCCACTCCCCTTAGTTTTTGACTAAAAAAATTGTTTGTAAAGTCTTACTTTACAAAATATCATTATTTTCAAAAAATCGTAACTCCATTAATAATAACTCAATGACTGTGAGTTTTTGGTATTTTTTACATTGAATCATTAGGAAAAAGACCCCAAAATTTCAACTTTCCACTCCCCTTAGTTTTTGACTAAAAAAATTGTTTGTAAAGTCTTACTTTACAAAATATCATTATTTTCAAAAAATCGTAACTCCATTAATAATAACTCAATGACTGTGAGTTTTTGGTATTCTTTACATTGAATCATTAGGAAAAAGACCCCAAAATTTCAACTTTCCACTCCCCTTAGTTTTTGACTAAAAAAATTGTTTGTAAAGTCTTACTTTACAAAATATCATTATTTTCAAAAAATCGTAACTCCATTAATAATAACTCAATGACTGTGAGTTTTTGGTATTTTTTACATTGAATCATTAGGAAAAAGACCCCAAAATTTCAACTTTCCACTCCCCTTAGTTTTTGACTAAAAAAATTGTTTGTAAAGTCTTACTTTACAAAATATCATTATTTTCAAAAAATCGTAACTCCATTAATAATAACTCAATGACTGTGAGTTTTTGGTATTTTTTACATTGAATCATTAGGAAAAAGACCCCAAAATTTCAACTTTCCACTCCCCTTAGTTTTTGACTAAAAAAATTGTTTGTAAAGTCTTACTTTACAAAATATCATTATTTTCAAAAAATCGTAACTCCATTAATAATAACTCAATGACTGTGAGTTTTTGGTATTTTTTACATTGAATCATTAGGAAAAAGACCCCAAAATTTCAACTTTCCACTCCCCTTAGTTTTTGACTAAAAAAATTGTTTGTAAAGTCTTACTTTACAAAATATCATTATTTTCAAAAAATCGTAACTCCATTAATAATAACTCAATGACTGTGAGTTTTTGGTATTTTTTACATTGAATCATTAGGAAAAAGACCCCAAAATTTCAACTTTCCACTCCCCTTAGTTTTTGACTAAAAAAATTGTTTGTAAAGTCTTACTTTACAAAATATCATTATTTTCAAAAAATCGTAACTCCATTAATAATAACTCAATGACTTTGAGTTTTTGGTATTTTTTACATTGAATCATTAGGAAAAAGACCCCAAAATTTCAACTTTCCACTCCCCTTAGTTTTTGACTAAAAAAATTGTTTGTAAAGTCTTACTTTACAAAATATCATTATTTTCAAAAAATCGTAACTCCATTAATAATAACTCAATGACTGTGAGTTTTTGGTATTTTTTACATTGAATCATTAGGAAAAAGACCCCAAAATTTCAACTTTCCACTCCCCTTAGTTTTTGACTAAAAAAATTGTTTGTAAAGTCTTACTTTACAAAATATCATTATTTTCAAAAAATCGTAACTCCATTAATAATAACTCAATGACTGTGAGTTTTTGGTATTTTTTACATTGAATCATTAGGAAAAAGACCCCAAAATTTCAACTTTCCACTCCCCTTAGTTTTTGACTAAAAAAATTGTTTGTAAAGTCTTACTTTACAAAATATCATTATTTTCAAAAAATCGTAACTCCATTAATAATAACTCAATGACTTTGAGTTTTTGGTATTTTTTACATTGAATCATTAGGAAAAAGACCCCAAAATTTCAACTTTCCACTCCCCTTAGTTTTTGACTAAAAAAATTGTTTGTAAAGTCTTACTTTACAAAATATCATTATTTTCAAAAAATCGTAACTCCATTAATAATAACTCAATGACTGTGAGTTTTTGGTATTTTTTACATTGAATCATTAGGAAAAAGACCCCAAAATTTCAACTTTCCACTCCCCTTAGTTTTTGACTAAAAAAATTGTTTGTAAAGTCTTACTTTACAAAATATCATTATTTTCAAAAAATCGTAACTCCATTAATAATAACTCAATGACTGTGAGTTTTTGGTATTTTTTACATTGAATCATTAGGAAAAAGACCCCAAAATTTCAACTTTCCACTCCCCTTAGTTTTTGACTAAAAAAATTGTTTGTAAAGTCTTACTTTACAAAATATCATTATTTTCAAAAAATCGTAACTCCATTAATAATAACTCAATGACTTTGAGTTTTTGGTATTTTTTACATTGAATCATTAGGAAAAAGACCCCAAAATTTCAACTTTCCACTCCCCTTAGTTTTTGACTAAAAAAATTGTTTGTAAAGTCTTACTTTACAAAATATCATTATTTTCAAAAAATCGTAACTCCATTAATAATAACTCAATGACTGTGAGTTTTTGGTATTTTTTACATTGAATCATTAGGAAAAAGACCCCAAAATTTCAACTTTCCACTCCCCTTAGTTTTTGACTAAAAAAATTGTTTGTAAAGTCTTACTTTACAAAATATCATTATTTTCAAAAAATCGTAACTCCATTAATAATAACTCAATGACTGTGAGTTTTTGGTATTTTTTACATTGAATCATTAGGAAAAAGACCCCAAAATTTCAACTTTCCACTCCCCTTAGTTTTTGACTAAAAAAATTGTTTGTAAAGTCTTACTTTACAAAATATCATTATTTTCAAAAAATCGTAACTCCATTAATAATAACTCAATGACTGTGAGTTTTTGGTATTTTTTACATTGAATCATTAGGAAAAAGACCCCAAAATTTCAACTTTCCACTCCCCTTAGTTTTTGACTAAAAAAATTGTTTGTAAAGTCTTACTTTACAAAATATCATTATTTTCAAAAAATCGTAACTCCATTAATAATAACTCAATGACTGTGAGTTTTTGGTATTTTTTACATTGAATCATTAGGAAAAAGACCCCAAAATTTCAACTTTCCACTCCCCTTAGTTTTTGACTAAAAAAAATTGTTTGTAAAGTCTTACTTTACAAAACATCATTATTTTCAAAAAATGGTAACTCCATTAATAATAACTCAATGGCTTTGAGTTTTTGGTATTTTTTACATATGATTTTTCCGTTATCCATCACCCTCTTCAGATAATCATATATGGACCGCCACTGCTGTATATAGGCTTCATGTTCTGCCAAAAGTTTTCAGTTTTGTAAAGGGAAAACTTTAGTTTCATTGACTAGGCTTTGGAGTGTCATTTTTGTTAGATTTTCAATCAGAAAATGGTCGTTATTTTTCTGCTTCTTAAAATGCATCCTATTTTATTTCTGTCTTTGTCTTACTCAATGGCATTAAGGCACATTTTGATTTAAAATGAAATACAATATGTTTTTTGGTCAATTTAATATTCAGTCCCAGTCAATTACAATTAACAACAATATAGTTTTAGGTAACATTCTATAGTATATTTAACAATTAAGTGGAAGCGTTTTCTTAACATTTTACATTTACATATAAAGTTTATCTACTAATATAACGGGCCCTGTATAAACGCTACATTATTTACACTTTTGAATCATGTCTAAAGGCTTAACCTCCACCATTGAATTATGTGACTAATATACACTCACTGGCACCTATGTTGCCGATATCAGCTGAAAAAATGTGGAATTAGGGGGTCAAGCCGATAACACTGAACCAAAATACTTAATGACACATTATCATCAATTAAGGAACTTGTTTTGTCGTTGATTTTTAGTCTTTTTATGTTAGATCACAAATAATTTAGAAACCCTTGATGACGCCGTAGGCCTCTAACGTCGATAGCACCAAATAGACGATCCACAGGCCGAAAAGTACCAGAGAAGTGAGCAATTTAGATGCAGTGGGACCACCCAGTTCTCCCCCGATACTTTTCGAACGTCTGAGCAACAGAATCAAAATGGCGACGGCCGCTTCCGAACAAAATATCGTCACCGAAAAGGCTAAACTGGAAAATGTTTGTCGTCAGCGTAAGCCCACTTAATCAGTATACAGGTTACCTGCCAGGATGGACGGTAAATTTGTTGCCGTGACAGCCGTGGTAAATAGCAGCAATCGACCAGGCAACGCCGATACCCAAAAAAACATTGACAGCGTTACTTCCGG